CGCTTTTCAAAGCAACCTTAGAAGCTTTATTAGTGCAATAATATATTAAACATCGCGTGTTCACAATTTTCAATTGAAACGAATCTAAAATCAGTTTAAAAATCAGAATTATTCATTGGAACCGACGATTTGTAACATCTTTTTTTTTCACCTGCTTGATCTCTCCTGTTAAACACTACCTATAAATCTTTTACAAGATCCTTGGGAGACAAGAGGCGGACAAGCACAATCAACAGTTGAAGAACGGCAATGCTCCTCTCTCGGCAGTGCGTTTTTTTTTCCCGTCCCTCACCGATTTGTCCAATTCTGGAGTCGTCACAGCCGCAGTTGTCGAAATCGCCCATGCTGCAGTTTTTGGTGAGAGTGTACATCACCCCGGCGGAGCTGATGGCGTGGACGAAGGACGTTTCTCTGGTGGCTGGAGGGTGAAAGCGAGGGAAGCAGCATTCACAAATGGCACCGCGGTGGTGTCTCAGCAGTGTCACGCCACGCAGTCTGCTATTATAAATCGTGTAACAGGTGGCAATAGAGTCGTCACAGTATTAACTCTCTGCTTTTAAATAAAAGTGGACATATCGGGACTGGTACATATGCCTGAATCAGGGAAAGCCCCAGAATTGTTCCAATTTACCCCACGATCAGGAGAAGATTGACCTGTTCTGTCACCATTTAATTATTTCAGAATAGTGTTTTAAAGTGGAAGTAGATTTTATACTATACACTATACACTATATACCATATACCATATACCATACACCATACACTATACACTATTAACTATGAACTATGAACTATGAACTATGAACTATGAACTATAAACCATATACTATAAACTATATAATATTTAGTATATATTATATACTATATGTGGGTATATAGCTATACTATACTTAATTATACTTCCACTACAGCTCCTTTCTACTAATAGTAATATCAATAACAACAGTGATTGAATGGACCCTTTCATTTGCAGAGGAACGTACCGCTTCTCAGCCCGTTGTGCGTGGACAGCTGGAGCGCGCTCTCGGGACAGTTCCACCGATCCCACGCGAACTGGTACTTGCACTCCTCAATGCCGCGCTGGGCGCCCGCCTGCACGCTGCCGGTGTAAATGAGGTGAGCCTGAGATCAGGAGAGAAACAGAACAGCGACGGGGTGAGATTATAGCAGAGCTCGCCGTCGTGTGCTAGGAAAAACAAGGCACATGGGGAAAAGAGAAACTGTCACTGTAAGAGAAGAGAATCCGTTTTTTTTCCCGTCACAGCTCTTATGCTAATGTGTATAGCAAATATATCTTAAAAAGAACCAAAGAGAAGTATGCTTACCTTTGTACCCGCCATCAGGAAGTTGTTGACCGACCTAAAAATAATACAAAAAATATTGCGTGAATTAGCAACAACATCAGTGACAGCAATGACAGCGAAAATAAGATTTTCAACGAATATTTTCGAATATTTTCAAAACTGAAAGCCTCCTACCAAGCTGTAACTAAAAGTACGTGGCAGTACACTGACAGGACCGCCGACGTTAAGAGATGATGGGGAACCATCGCTGAACAAGCCTCTGTTTCCTTATTTCCTTTATCGCTGCACACTCCTGTTCGAAAATCCTAAACAGGGGACGAAGCAGCGAGGCCTCTGATATTTATAAGGTGGTGTCTCATTTAGGTGACAAGAAAGTTTCCCTTTTACTGTGACTACAAGGAGGTCATTGGGTGACCTCTTCCATGAACAAGACCCGGGCCAGGAAACGCCTGATAATGCACTTCAAAGCGTTGACACTGTTTTTAAATACCCTACTTTCCATCTCTAAACCTGGTGTAGATTTAACATGCCCGTTATCGTTTTATTTCTTCCTTTTTAGAATTTCAAGTTTTCCCGTTCTCCGTTTCGGGTGACGCTCTCTTCATGAAATTGCCTTAGCCTTAAAAATAATGCTGTAAAAAAAATGGAACGTCATTAATGGTCAACGAAACTAGCACTTGAGACACAGAAAAGCCATTTAGAGATGTTACACTAAATATTCCCACAAAGTGACGTGACTAATGAATTTGCATTTCAACATGTCTCTGTTTTAAAACCGTTTTGTGTAGCGGGCAGATACGTGCATTGTGTTTTGCATTCTGAAGTATTTAAATATGAAATATAAATATTTGAAATACGTATCTTGTCGTATCACTATTTTTTCAATTATGTGCGCTTGTTTGTGTGTTTATACTGTATATTCTACTATAAGAAGAGGTCATAAGGATAGACGTTGAACATGAGATTACCTTATAAATCACTTTGGCAGACGTTAAAATGCTTACATTTTGGGTATTTCCGATTAATTTTTCCTTGACGGGTTTTGAGGAGAAATTGAAAGATTTTACTTTTGTAATCTTTTGCCCGACCTGATTCCAGTCGACGCTGAATTATTTGAAAACTAAATGTATTACTTTAAAATCGAATTTAGCTGAGAACTAAATCATAATTAAGTTAGAACAGGAATAAGTCATAACGTCTATCCTCCATTTGAATTTGACTACATCTCTACCAATGTTGGGCATTGTGTACCAAAAGAGTACACACATTTCAGTGTAGGATTTTATTAAATTACGTTCATAATATAAAAATAAAGCCAATTTGTGAAAAACTTTAAAATTTGTGGGGAAAACAGGGTTTCCCAATTCATACAGTGAAGCGACTGCATGGTTTGTATCAGATGAGTTCTCGGTTATTTAATTCAACAACGGATTAAACGAATTATTTAATGAGATTTTCAGCTCTGTACGCAGACCTGCGTAGCGAGTTCTTAGTCTAACTAGAATGGAAACCAGTGAGCATCAGATTCACCGAGCACCAGCACTGGGAAAGCCTGTTCTAATCGTTGTTTCTCGCTCGGAAATACACCGTAATGGGATCGTTTTGCTCTCGAGGTGGCACCGGGACTGCTGAAAATATTGCCCGTGAACGCAACTGTGAAGTGGCGGACACACACAGTGAATACAGATGTGGTTAAAAAAATTAAACTGCGTGTCGCGTTGTCGGCAGTGGTGTTTTATGACCAAGAAGTAACAAGGGGGTTGAAAAAGCAAGAACTGGAAGTTTCATCTCATTCTGGTTAAGTGTATCATTTGCAGTGTGTTTTAAATACAGGTGCACGTACACGGAGGGAAGGCAGATCAACAAAATGACTCTTGTCCTGTGTGAAACTAAATCGACATTTTAGTTCATGTAAGAACAGGTACCGCTACTGCGAACTGTATCTCGCCCATTTTAATTTACTCTGATTAATATTTCCACAAACCCCACAGAAACGGAAACATATTTTAAGGTTCTGTCTGCAGGGGTGTCAAACGTATTAAGGGTATTAAGCCTTCCACTGCGAGGGAAAGGTTACTGAATGCTAATTTCCCTTAATCAGAGCAGATCAACGCGATGGTAACAGAGAATTTCGAAAAGGTTTTAGGAAAAACACACATATGAACCTGGAAGCAAATGTTCATTGTGGGCCATTATAAAATAAGCAACCGACTAGAATAAGAATCGAAAATGTAAATATTAAATGTTAAGTGACTGGATGCAACAACAAAAACAACAAAAAAAAACCCAAAACAACACGTGTTTTCTTGGGGGTAAAAACAAGCTATTTAACCAATTGGTTTCACGACTTTCAACTAACAGACGTATACCTCGAAACTGTCAATGAAAAACACTGGCTCCCCATTTCTTATTGAAATCAACTTTATTTGTGGCTCCAAACTCGCAAAATAAGACAAAACCGAGACACCTCGTAATGTTTGTCATCCATGATACCTGCGATTATAAGGCAATCAGACTTCAGTTTGTTAATTTCAGCGCCTGGTTTAAACGTTACAAACCCCTGGAGCTGAGGTACCCTATGGTCCTGTTTATGGTCCTAGCAAATCAGAATACAACTCTCTTGCTCCGGATCTGACAAAGAGAAATGTTAGATGTCTGCGATGCAGGCTAGGAGTCACTTGCTTTTCAAACTATTAATTCTACCCATTAATTAATATTCCCTGAATGTCACAAATGCCAGGTGCTCTATTTTCATGTGGTGTGGATATACGGTTTGCTTTCTCCGTGCAGCTGATGTTATCTGGAGTTGAGTTTCGCTCTTTTCTCAGCGCAAGGCTGCCATTCGGGGGGTAAGACAAGCTGTGAAAAGCTACAATTGCTTGCCTACAGGTGAGGATAATCCTCATTAATTGGATACCGCTAATTAATTAACGCCAAACTTTCACTTCAGCTGAAAACTTGGCGCCCAGCAACTAATTGGAGAAAATCAAAGGTATTAGGCGTTTATCAGCGATACATAAGGCAAGCCACCCTCAGGGAAATGGGTGGGGCAGCACCCGAATGGGCCTGATCAATTGTCTCGCGTGGGCTATCCCTTTATTGGTTAATTATCTGAATACACCAGGCCGCAGTGCGTCACGCCTTTCGGAAAACAACTTGAATCGCAAAACCCTTTTTTTACTAGAAACCAAAATTACACGTTCAGCTAGAATCAACAGTTTTCATGCGTTGCAAATAAAATACACAAGTAAAACAATAACATTGTTAGCTCTCGAATACACTGACGTCGATTTTTACTAATGTTTCGGGATGTAAAACATTCAGTCTATAATATTCAAGTGGCTTTTGTGTACGTGCCAACGTATATTGTTACAGAAGAGTCTTGCAAGCTGGTATGTCTTTTCAACCTAGTATTATGCACACTTTTTATTTCTGAATTGTCAAGTTGTTGAAACGAAATGTATGTGCTCTTTTAAAGCAGTCCGGTTCATATCTTGTAGAAAGCTTTTGAATTTTACTGGTAAATCGAATTGTATAGATTTGATCGTGAACACAGGGTTTTGTGCGCGTACACAGGTGACGATTTAATTTGACCTTTAAATTAAGTTGTGATCACGTTTCCAGGAATCGTAGCTGATAAAGGTATCATGAATACCGCAGAAACACACGGAATCATTTTAAAACGGTGCATCGGGAAAAGAGAGACTCCAGTCTACACATTTAAACTTTAAACGCTGTTAAAAAAACATGAGTATTTTTTTTTTGTAGGTAAAAGGGTATTTGTAGGTGTAACAATCTGTAAACATGCAGTACAGGGGGGGACTTTGATGCTTTATTTTTTCAAGACACACTAGGACCATATTCTTAATCTTAATTAAAACCATTGTTGACACTGAGTTGATATTTGGTGAAAGGCAGTTTCACCTCATGGCTCCGAATAATTAATGGTGAAGCAATTTGCGGTAAGAAAAGGGAGAGGGAGTTATCATCGAATCGTTAACTTTTCTTAAGCGTTTTAATTAAATGCATTCAAAAATACATAAAGTCGGCGAGACTTTGGTTTCTCGAACGCCCAGCTGGAACTGTATTCTGAATTAGAGGTCAGATAAGCGAATGAAAACGATAAAGAGTTAAATTTACGCCAGTTTGTAAAATATACTGTATGCCAGACGTCTGTTCCTGGGTGACAGGACTACAGACGCCAGCTCTCCGATCGCTTCATTAAGAGGCCAGCCGGGCGGAGAGTTAAAAGAAACTCCGTGCCCGATTTCCCACTTGACATTAACAAGTGTAAAACTAAGAATACGACGTAAAATCCTGCTTCCACAATGGTTAAGGAAAAAAAAACCCAACGTAAGCAATACTGACACATCGGTGCTTGATACAGTTTTGCTGGTTAGCTTAATGCAGGTGTGTGAGTTTAGCACTTAAAATCGGTCGACGGCGAGATAGTCTCTCAGTAATTGAGCGTCTGGTTTCGCGAGGGTGTCACACTAACACGTTCCACACAATCACTGCTTTATTTGGCCTTGTGTGTTGTACCACAACATCTAATATTATATTGATTCGTACGGGACCGGTGTCCAGACGTCTGATACAGCAAACTCAAAGGGAAAGTTCGAAATGTTGAGAACAGGGTTTGTGAATTATGCAAACTTTTTTTTTCAAGTTTGTGCATTTTTACATCAGCGAAAACTCAAATCCTTTTAATAACGCTGTCGTGTTATTTAATTGCGATGCAGTATCTACAGACCTCAGTAGACAAAGATAGAAAAACATCAACTGTGTTCAAGCCCTTTAAAATCAACAACCAACCCTGTTTTCTTAACACTATTCTGCGATATGATAACGGCTATGCTTTAGGGGGGAAGCGTTTAATATCAGTATTAACAGAATAATAGAGTTTTTTGTTTCAGAATATAATTCTTTCAGGCTGATTCAATTAAGTATAATTAAGGTTGGGTACAACAATGCAGTGCCTAAGGGATAATATAATCAAGTTTTAAATTAGAAGATTTTAGTTATATTTTAACCTAACAAATAAATGAAAAAAAAAAGACGTACTTCTACAGACCTCAGGTCTTTAACAACAGGTTGTCGGCCCTGTGGGCAGGTTATCGGTCGGTTACACTTGCCGAAACTGTACCTGGCTGTTCTTCAACAACCAGTCTTCGGCTCGGTCACCCAGTAAAAAAAAAACAACAAATTATCCTGTAATCTTCATGTCTTTACGAATTGCCGTAGTGACGACCCATTTGTTAGTTCGGTAAACTTCTGGATTCCTATATATATACCCCTTTTATTTTAGTTTATACCATTTACCTTGAACTGAATGACACATGACTCCCTCTAGTGCCAGTACAGCAGCCTGCACATAGAAGCCATCACATTTAACATGACACTTGTCGTTAGGGGAGATTCCAGCCTTCCAAAGAAGACGTCCCTCTTTAGTTTAAAGTACTATATCAATTTACATGCTTTAAACACATATTCTTGACAGATTATTGTCTCTTCGGGGATTTTGCTTTTGAAGTACGGAATTACAGTTCACAGTACAGACACTGTCGTGTAGAGGAACACAACGAAGGAACAAGTAAAGTTTTATTCCATATTGAAAAGAGACGAAGTGAAACACAACTTTTCGTCTGTTGAGCCTTCTTCAAGTAGAGCCTTCACATATGAAGAAGGCTCCAGAGCCGAAACGTTTCGTTTCTTCTCTTTTCAACCTGGAATAAACCTTAACTTGTTCTTTGGAGCCTACGCATGCTGACGCAGCTCCCTACTTGAACACCACAAAGGATATACATACACATAAAACAGTACATATATGCACACAGGCAGTGAAAAAAAGAACCCTGGATAAATTTAATTCCACTAAAATCTGATGGTTTCAAACTATTTATTGTTTTGATGGTTTTTAGTTTTTGAAACCATGCGGCACTAATTCGATTAAAGAAGTACGAGTAGGTAGCTGTGTCAGCATCAATCCAACTAATTTGATTGATTTCTTGCCAGAGGTCTCCTACTTTACAAAGACCTAAAATAGGGTGGAAAAGTAGACATGCTGAGTGGATTTTAGAATGCTGATGTTTTCTTTCCATTAAGCGGTCAGACGCAGTCAACTTCGCAAATCCAGGAGCTGACAAGAAATTTAGAAAAGCTGGTCAGAGATCGTGAATCTGCCGGTGATGGTCGCTGTTGCTATAGTAACTGTCCTGTTCTAAAAGTGAATCCGACAATGTCATTCCAGCCTGTCCTTCCCAAATCCACACGTTCATGATAAAAAAGCTTAAATCTTTGTTGTCCAATTCACGAGACCAGAATTTACCTCCATTTTAATGACGAAATTATATCTCGGAATTTGAGAATCTTACACCATTATGAATTTCAAATAGCGGAGGACGCTACTTTAACACCAGTCGAAAGCAAGATTATCAGTTCAAAATCTTTCATGAAACGTTAATTTGCGAACTGAATTAATTCTTCATGTAAAGTCATACCCAAAGCTCTACAAACGACAGACCGTTAATGCGCCTTGTCCAGTGTTATTTCTTGAGTTGCTTTGAAAAAACGAGCACCAATTTATCTGGAATGTTCCTCTCCACTCCCACCAGACAGAATCAACCGCTCTTAGTGGTATTAAATTCTGCAGCTGTTCCACTGTGACCAGCCACAGTAAAATCAAAGACCATCTGTTTGTGGCTATCCAGGAAAAAAAAGACCAGCTGTCATCTTTTTAGCATAAACTGAAACACAGAAACGGTCCATTTTGACACCACAGTTTCTACTTCTGTCCCGCTGCTCAAAACGATCTGTTTAAAAACAACGATAAATCTTTACAGACGTTCTTTGGAATATACAGTACTTTCCTACATTTTGCAAGGCATGCTGTAAAAATTGTTGAAAACGAAGAGACCCCTCTAGCATAGTTGCTGCAAAGGTACGTGTTTACGTTTAATCGACTAGTTTTTCTTTTTTCCTGTTCTTGAATGGTTCACTTCTTGCGTGATTTATTGTAGGTGCATACGTGCAGGTATTCCTTCCGTTTAGATTCTTATTTTCTTACTAAATCATTGCTCCAGCAGCATCAGTACCTCAAAAAAAAAAAGCCCCGTTATATTTCCCGCCAGTATGTGTGCTACATGAGAAAAAAAAATAACACAACATCTCTTTGGTGATTGTTGAACCGCTAGTGTAAAAGATGAGTTAATAATCATGCCAGGTGAGAATCTATAGTTCATCAGGAATAACAACACCCAAGGATTAAACGTTCTGAACGGTTCATGGAGTGTTTTAGTCACAATAAAATTTGTCTGAACCCGCTTGGCAGTGTTTATAGTGGTGTGGGTGAGGAAATGGCGTCAGGAGTGATTGTGAATCACTGACAGCTGAGGCTGATCGAACTTGGCTGTGGTCATCTCTCCTGAATTCTTGTTATGATCTCCACAGCAGAAGTACAGAACGCTCCACAGACGACAGCAGTTTTGGACACATAAGGGATGCACAGATATACTGTATCCTCCGAAACAGCTACATCCCAGTAACCTCTGCGTAATACACAGCCCAGGGTGAAAGAGGAAGAATGTTTTGTTCCAGGGATACAGGCCTGATCTTTCACTGCGAACTTGAGTAACTGAACCGTGACACTCACACAGAGAAAATGAGAGAATGTTGTCCCAAAAATGTCCCAGTTGTCCACCGGACTCAGCCTTGGGGACTCTAATTGGGCGGAGTGGTGGATCTATACCTGTGGCTGGAAGGTTGTCGGTTCAAATCCCACAGCTGGCAGAGGAATCCTACTCCATTGGGCCTCTGTGCAAGGCCCTTCACCCCAGCTTCTCCAGGGATGCTCTGACCCCAGCTTCTCTCCCTGTCTGTGTGTCTCATGGAGAGTGAGCTGGGGTCTGTGAAAAGATGAATTCCTAATGCAAGAAATTGTATAGGCCTAATAAAGAGATCTTATCTTAATTAACAGAGTGCTGTCCCACTGGGAACTTCAGACAGCAGCAGGCGGGAGGCATACCTGACATTCGAATCTGCAGCCTCCAATATTTGAGCCATGTGGAAAACTGCAATACGTTCGTCAGAAGTACCAGCAGGTTAACTTGCTTAACTCTATCAAAGATGTGACAACATGATACTGTATATTAAGAGATCTGGAATACATTTTTTTCACTTTATTAGGAAACAGAAACATAAAAAAAAACCATGAAATTGTACAGAGAACTCATCTAATCAAAGGAGTTTGGATTGGCGCTTCATTTTTTAAAAATAAAAAAAGTCCCTCATATGGGAGCCCCAAACCAGTTTCGCCATTTCTTCCTCCCATCGGCAGTCACGCGTCTCTCGTTGGTGAGAAGTCGCTTTGTGAAACAAAGGGAAACTGGTGACAGTCGACTCTGGAGCCCCGTCCCCCTGGTCAAAGAGCAGCTTCTCCCTTCCGCTCCTGTTCAATTGCTGAAAGAGAACATTCGCACTCGTCAGCGGACGTTTCCTGGGAAAGACTTCTTCTGTTATAAGCTCCTTCGTGAAGCTGCAAGCGGAAGAATCTTTATTTGCATCTTGGGCGCTAGAAATGTATTCACCCCTAACAGGTGTAATGGTTCAATAGCAGTGACCGATAAACACGATGTTCTTTAAAGTCTTCTCTTTATCCAAGTGGATTATGAGGCACGAAAGTGACCGTTCTTTGTGCCTACAGGGAAATATGAACCATTGTTAGCACTGTAATAATAATAATAATTAATAATAATAATTGCTTACACTTATATAGCGCTTTTCTGGACACTCCACTCAAAGCACTTTACAGGTAATGTGGACTCCCCTCCACCACCACCAATGTGCAGCATCCACCTGGATGATGCGACAGCAGCCATAGTGAACCAATACACTCACCACACACCAGCTATCAGTGGGGAGGAGAGCAGAGTAATGTAACCAATTCATAGGGGGGGATTATTAGAAGGCCATGATTGGTAAGGGCCAATGGGAAATTTGGCCAGGACACCGGGGTTACACCCCTACTCTTTTCGAGAAGTACCCTGGGATTTTTAATGACCACAGAGAGTCAGGACCTCGGTTTTACGTCTCATCGCAGGACAGCACCTGTTTTTACAGTATAGTGTCCCCATCACTATACTGGGGCATTAGGACCCACATGGACCACAGGGTGAGCGCCCCCTGCTGGCCCCGTAATGTTGTGATGACCCATTCCTCCTAAGTCTTATTGCCCTCACCCATTCAGGATCTCTGGGTCCTGTCCCGACAAGCAGTGGGCACAAGGCAGGGCACACCGTGGACGGGACGCCAGTCCATCACAGGGCACACACAGACACAAGCACAAACACTCACGCCAGGGCCAGTTTTCCCAGAAGCCTCCCCGGTATGTCTTTGGACTGTGGGAGGAAACTGGAGCACTGAGATAACCACTGCACTAATGTGCCGCTCCATCTTGTGATTATGGATATCACCAATTCTTATTCCTTTAAAATGTCTGGAAGTATGTGTATTGGTTCCCTAAAAACTTTAGACATTTTTGTGAGAGTCTTTCATTTTTGAATACTAGAAGAATAAAACATTTTACTGACTGAAATACCAATTTGTAAATGAAGTAGTTAACAAAAGTGAATAATTTTATCAGATGGCCACTATATAAGAATTAGATGGTACTGCTAATCAAAAACATTAGTATACGCTGAGAAACATAAACATAACAGCCTAAATATCATAAGGAAATAGTATGGTTTTAGTCATTAAAAGTTCATACGGTTGGCAGTTTTGACTGCACAACGATTTGGAAACCCTATATAAACAAAACTGCAAGGATTTCTCAATCTCAGAATACTTGATTTGAGATCATTCTCATATTCAGCCAATATTTGAATCCTAGGTTCCTTGCATGTACCTTGAAAACACAGAGTGGTAAGCAAGTCCTACGCCTGAACCGGAAACCAGTTTTAAAGCCAGGTGCTCAATGTGGTGGGATCAGCTCCTGTTAAGAGGAGTATTACTGGGTATCTCCCACTGGGAAGAAGAGCTCATTCTGCATGCCCGAAATGTACAGTTTTTTGTTTTGTCTTTTACCAAAACTCTGGTTCGTTCACAATTCAGACCATTTTCCTTTAAATGAAAATGGGATGCCAACTTTTGAAAAAGAGTTTTGTTTATTTAAGATGAATAAATGCACTTAAACTGAAGGTGAGTGTGGGACCAATGCTATATCTAACGAGATATTTAATAATACAGATGAACTTAACCCAAAGTGGGATAATTCAGTCTCAGAATATTACTCCTCAGAAAACACAAATCCAGAACATTTTGAGCATGCACATTTTCTGGTTGGACCAACTTCACACAATGCAAACAAAATGTTATGTCAATATCCTAGAAGTAACTATATCTCATCTTCTTTCATAATTAGCATCATTTACAACCTCCCAGTGCGAAACTACAATGCACTAAATTCCTAGCAGTGCATTTTCACAGCGAAGCCTCCTGACCTCAGAAGCTACTGCAGCTCGTCTGGGATCTGTGGTGAAAGACTCATGGGATATTCTCTGAGTAACGCGCACTTGGCAGACTGCGCCGCGTCAAAAGACAAGCCCACTTACTCTCCTTTGTTGGCAAGGGGTTCTTCTCTTTGGTTTCCGTCTTCTTCAGCTTAGATTTGTCGAAACCTTCGATTTCCGTGAGATCTGGCTTGTCAGACATCTTTGCCTTGAAAGGACAGTGGGAGTAAGTCAGCACTGAGCTAAAAAAAGCAAACAAACAAGCAACCCACCTAAAAGAACACGAAACCTGGAACATTGCCTGTAATGTCACGGAGGTGAGCTGGGAAACCGGGCTGCTTCTAATTTTTCGCCGAGCAAAGGAAGGGTGCTAAGTTTTTTTCGGCGGCACGGAAGGATTCGCCCACCCCTCCAGGAATCCATTTTTTCTTTGTTCAAGAACGGTCCAACCACCAACCCGAATGTGCGGCTAAATTAGGGTGCGATTAGTCGTTGTGTGACGGGTTACAGAGACATGACATGCTTCTTATTGTATCAGCCCATAAGAATGAAGCAATTCGACGCCCTTATTTACAGACACCCTTTAACAATGCTGCAGAAGGGAACAGCCACTAACGCAACAGTTGATGTGGCAGAGACTCTGCACACAGCGTGAACGCACTTCGCCTTCATTGTCTTCTTGGACACAGCAGGCGTCCTTCTCTTCTGCCTGGCCAGTTTGTCTAAAGCGAAGCTGAGCCTGCCCTTCGCCGGCAATTACTCCCACTGCCCTGGGATCGAGACACCCAGAGCCCTTTGTTCTCCGGTGGTGGTCCACTCGGTTTCTGTCGCAGGCCTCAGCGGCAGGCGGGCTGAAGCAGACGGTCCCCACGCTGCAGACACTGTCTGACGCTAAAGGGCAGCACGCCTGGTTGGCTCCCCAGTCTCGCCTGGTCTCAGGGCGAAAAAAAACAGAAGCAGGAGCTGCCTGAAGTCACTGGCCCTACCTACGTCATCTTGCTCCTGCTGTTACCATGAGCTGCGTTAATTCAGGGGACCCTGCCCGGCTCTGACAATGAAACCACGCGCAAAGGTGTATTTATGCAGCCTACACGTGCACAGAATAAAATCACCAAGCCGGGGAGTGCCCTTACCGTGATACGAGTATCCTTCTGCCAGGAGCTCTTTCCTTCTGCCTGGGTGCCTCTGTCTGCTGCAGCCTGCTCCTAGGGTGTGGACCTGAGAGAGAGAGAGAGGGGGAATTATGGATTGCCTCCTCCTCTGGGCTAGTTAATATTTATGACCATAGAGAGTGCAGAGGAGGGGCTAACTTCCCGAAAGCAGATAACACCAGAAGATGAGCTACTGCAGCCTTCCCAGAAGACAGCAGCTGCAGGCGTGATTGCATGTGCAAGTGCGACAGTGTCTCCAGCGGGGGTGGGGAAGAATGCCAGTCCCCACATTGAGAGGGGTCCCCTCCCTATGCCTCCCTCTTATTTTTAAGAAGTGACCAGTCTTTCGCCAGTCTGCTGATCCAGGCATGAGGAGGATTTTCACGGGTGCGTGTTTTCCCCTGACAGCCTAAATTGTGCTTTGAAGCAAGCTCCTTCAGCACAGGATTCTGAGGATATAACATCAGCCGTAATGAACAGCCGTGCTTAAAATACCGAGCAGGATCAGCCTCTCCGTGTTTTTAAATGTCATTCAAACTAGGTCTTTTTTAATAGGATGTCGTGGAGGTAAACCCTAAACCCTTATCATAAGCTGCCTTTCTCAAGCTCACTGCCAGCCGACTTGTTTTTATAAGGCATGTTCTTACTAAATTTAGAGTGCAGCTGTAATGAAACCCAGAGACTACAGTGCTCCCCCAGGACTAGTGTACAAATCCCAGCTATGAAGGGAGAGCAGAGTTAAGGGAGTTGTTCATACAACTGTTTTTTTGTATCATGTCACAAGTGAAAAAAAATCTCATTTCTCTTCTGATGCCCTGAATGCTGAGCTGAGTAATTACTCATTACGCAAGTGTATGAAAAAAGAAAGTTGTGCAATACATGTGCAAAACTAAATAAAGGAGACATTATTCACACAACATATTATAAGCATATATAGTCATATATATATATAAAGTTCCATTTAAGAATTCCACAGTCTCACCCTAGCATTACAACTTAAAAAAATCTCATCTGTATATGATGGTAATATTAACAGAGAGCGTTCTGGCGCACTATGGCTGCTGTCGCATCATCCAGGTGGATGCTGCACACTGGTGGTGGTGGAGGGGAGTCCCCATTACCTGTAAAGCGCTTTGAGTGGAGTGTCCAGAAAAGCGCTATATAAGTGTAAACAATAAGAGAGAATACAAGTGCTCTGTGCTCATACTGGTAAGCCTTGAGCGACCTCTTGTGTTGACATCTAGTCATTGCAAGAGGTGAAATTGAGAGTTTATAACTACAGTGTAAATGTGTAGTCAACTGAAAACATGGCTTCATGGCAGTCACAGCAACCCAGACACTGCGCTGGAGGGCACAAGTCAGGCCTACAAACTGGACAGGACACTGATCACACACAAGGCACACACTGGGGTACAGTTTAGACACTCCAACTAATCAAGAGGGAAGAAAAATGGAGCCCCCTGAAAAATACCTGGAGAGACCATGTAAACTCCACACAGAAGGTGCTCCAGTCCTGAATTTACAGAATGGAAGAGCTTTGAGGCAGCAACATTGAGCATTGTGCTGCCTTAACCTTAAAACTATGCTATCCATATATACTGCTGCATATGGCAGTATACTGAAATGCATTAGTGCGTCTATATTGCCTATAAAACCCTTTGAATCCTGAAATCTGTCTTTTACTGCACGAGCAGTGTATAGCAAGATAACATGAATGAGGTTTGCATGCTCATGCTCTTTTTATTAATTTGGTTATTGAAAGCGAAAGTTACCAGAAAGCCTTGTTTTTATAGCCAGTAATTGAAAGTTTGCACTATTGAAACCTACAGATGTACTTTGATTACGAGCTGTTAAATAACAATATTAACTCCCTCACAGTGCAGTTCCAGTATCCAGCATCATTTCTTTGGAAATTAGGGTTCAGATGGGCACAGTTTGCTGTTATTCAAAGCACAAACACAAAGCATTAAAAGAGAAAGTCGCCCAGTACTAATACTGATTTGGAATCTGGTCACATGGTCACAAAACGCTCGGATTGACATCAGGGGAGATAAAAATAGACTACTGGAATGGTCAATGCTGGACTGTGCATACACAAAGTGAGAAAAAGGTTTTCCTTTCATGACTGGGCCAACATTTAACCACCTTTGAATCACAAACAAATATAACAATACATAATCACCACCCAGCACCCCTCACTCCTACCCCCTAAAATACCAGTGACTAAGGGTTACATTGTTACACGCAGTACATGCTAATCCGCTCATTACACATTAAGTGTTAATCAAATTAATTGATAAAATTACAATAAACCGTCCAATACCTCCTGTAAATACAGCAAATGAAAAATCAGTTTAAGAACCGAAATACCCATGAAAAACATAAAACCTTCAAGTAACAAAGATTACAGACACTATAAAACACTCAATGGAGGTAATAATAAAGACACATAGCCGGGAAATTAATTCTGTTTTCCCGTTAATAGAACCTCCGATAGTGCCTTAATCTGTACATGGGCAACAGTTTCTGAAGCCTATCAACACGCTTGAGGTGTCGAATGTACGACTTTGGACTGTCTGATTTGGTTGTTGCACCGAACTTTCATGGACGGTGGATGATTTCTGACTTTCGGACACAGCAGACTTCTGTTGGCCGTTAACGAAAATGCTCGAACCCTTTGCCTTCAGAGTTTGACACGCAGCGGATGTGCTCTTTGGCCGCTAGAGTAGGTGGCAGCGTTTGATAAACGGTTTTGCGGCACCTAGTGGTACTTTGGAGTCATGGCATGTTAGAAACGACAACTTGGTCTTTCAAACCGCTTCACCATTTCGAGTTTCACGACAATTATCTTGGAAGAGTCAGCATATCTTAAAATGTCTTAACTGAGACTTAACTGAATGTTTTTAATTCCTTTTATCAAATGTTTTATAATGACCTCTTCACATTGTCTATTAAAATGCAATAAATAGTCTCCTTATTCTCAAATGCCCACTCATATAAAAAATTAACCTGTTTTTTATCATAAGCCACTCTCTCTACAGTCTACACATTGCCTTTGAAGCACATTGCTGGCCAGCTTTAATGCGCTTGTATTTTCTTTTCTATTTTCTGAAGCCTCCGTTCTAAAAGTTTACTTTTTGTTTACACCGAGTTTTTTCCCTTTTTTTGCACGTTATCAGGCAGTCTGAGTTCAGTCTTACTTGCAGGAAGTGTTTATACAGATATTAAATTCTGCAGGCTATTAACTTAATATAAACGATCTCTTTTGACACAGTAAAATATTACCGTAAAGCTATTACAATACCCGTAAAGATAATAGCCCAGAAATAACAGCGACAAACTATAAGATATATGTAATTTATTTGACTCCAACAAATACTTAATGAGGTGAATATAATATATGATATAATAGATGATAATATAATAAATAGCTGTGACTTATGAACTGCAGAATAACGGATGATGATTGAATGTCCATTAGGGACCTGTACTGTGATTTAACGGTTCATAATTGTTTGAACAAAAACCTAAAATTCTCATCCCACATATTCAGTATGTGGCAAAACCTGAGACAGAGAGGAAAACTCAGCCGCCAGGAAAGAGAAATGGTGATCGTAGCGGAGTGAGTCACTGTGTGAGGCAGCGGTGAACACTGAGTCACCAACGGAGATGGGATCGCAGACGTACAGTACTGTAAGGGGAGTCCATGATAATGAGGGCTGGCCAATCGCAATGTGTTCAGGCTTGCTGGGACTCTGTCATTGTGACTGGGCATTAGCATCGAAGCCTCACGTAACTGGCCGCTTGCGCTCATCACTGCAGAGGCGGTAAGAAAGCAGAGCAGGTGAGACCACACAGTACCTGGAGGACAGAGAGCAGAAAAGGAAAGCTGCAGTATATTCATCCTCCCCCGGGTAAATACCAAGTGTTACTCATCACTGCCCTCAGAGCTGTGTTAGTTTTCTTCCAGATAAATGATTTCAATCCGGAGTGTATGCCTATTACATCGCGGAGGCTTCATAAAAGTCACCGCCGTCCCAGTTTCTAAAAATCAGCCCAGAGTCTTTGGCAAAAGGCTTCATTTGGCAACATACAGTACACAAGGTGAAACACCGACTTCAGAGTGACACCAGCATCGCACACGGACAGTGACATTTCCAGAAGAATAAAATAATGACTACAATTTTTTCACCCTAAAAATAGCCAATGTGGTGTGCTGCATTCATTTACAATTTGCTAAGAGCTGTAATCTTTATGGAGAATAAAAATTCAGATGATGAGTGTAAGTGTCCAGATGATCAAAGCTACTGATGGAAAATAGACAGAAGGTAATAATTGCCCCAAATTAACCCAA